AGAACTGAAGACAGCCCTCATTAAAATGTCTGCTAGCACCTAAATTCCTTTAGCCAGGCTGTTTTTTAAAGGTAATCCCCAGTGTCTATACTAGTAGAGGAATGCTAGTAAAAATAAACACTTCACATCTAAGTAGAGAGATTAGACTTGTTTTTTTTTTAGATAGGATGCTAAGATACAGGAGTGTGGGGAAGAGCTTGGTCTGCTGTAGATCTTTGCAGACAAGAGAGTTTCAAATGTTTCCCTTACCTACTAAGTAAGAAATTCTTGTATGCAATCTATTCTAATCCATTAGGCGATCACATTTAATGTTTAACATATGATGTATTAATTTATTTGAGCTCAGTTGCCCTTGCAGGATGCTGGCTATATTTCATCCATCCATCTTCACAACGGCTTCTTTGAGGTCAGCGTCCCAGGGGACTCAGAACCTATCCCAGCAAGCATCCCAGTAAGGCAGGGTACACCCCGGATGGGACACCAGTCCATCACAGGGCCGACACAAACACACCAGGGCCAATTTTCCTAGAAGTAATTTACATATCACCCTCTCTTGGGACTGTGGGAGGAATCCAGAGCACCCGGAGGAAACGTGAATGTGGAAAGAGCATGCAAATTCCACACAGACAGCACCCCAGCTCCAGAATTGAATCTGGGGCTTCAGCACTGCGAGGCAGCCCTGCCACCCCACAAGTGCCTCCCTACTGCCACCACAACACAGACAACAAGCCCAAAGGTTAAAACTCCCAAGTAAGAAATTGGCCTTACAATGGTCACAAACATCATGGCAAAACACAAATTCCTCAAAAGTGTATCAGAAATGATAATAAACGAATCACAATCTTTTGAACAGGAACTACATCAACGAAAAGTGCAAGACATGTAAACAAAAAAATATATAATGCATAAGAACAGTTACCACCATCGATTGAAAGAAACCAGGGGATTAGCTTCAAGACCATGGTAGGGCAGCCTGTTCCATGCTTCCACCACTCTTTGGGTAAAGCAGTGCCTGCTGTTCTTGGTTTACAATACACTATCATTAACATTCTACTGGTCTACCCTGGTTCCTGATTCACTGCTACAGCTTGCAAGGAAAAAAAAGAGACATCTATATCTGATCTTACCGTCATGTGCACACATAATAAAAAAAAAAATCCCCCGAAAAAAATACTAAGTTTCTTTGAAAGAATTAAAAAATATACATTTTCAATGCACCCCCTTTAATCTAAGTGATATTTCCATCATGAGTTCCACCTGCTTTGCAGGTTTTTCAGCTTCCCTGTGTGAGTGTGCAGTATCTTTGTGATTGTTTACCCAGGTCAAAGTCCAGTTTCCAGACTAACTGTGGAATAGTTAACATTCTCGGTTATCTCAGCAACTCATAATCTCTCCACTCCTTAACAGAGTGTGACCTGACAAATTAGGTCCCTCTAAATTTCCAATTGTGAGTGCTACCGAATCTGTAGTAGCTCCCTTAACTCGCCTAGTTCTATACCTATAATTTTTCTATCAATTGCCTTTATTCTAGACTGAAGAGATTACATTCCTGTATAGTTATCCATATGATAGTCATTTGCATCCCTAGAGACTAGAAATCAGTTTTGTTCCTCCTCTTTGCCCTCTTTCTAAGGCTATATTTTTTTGTGGTATGTCGACCAAAACTACATGGTAGGCTAATTGAGCTTTTGCTTGAATGTAACTTCACTGAATTTGCACACATTTTTGCTATTTATATCGACACACTTTTTTTGTGCTTTTCTATTAAATAGAAGATCTCTTTCATGCACAGAAATCATAATTTGATGTGGTTGGGGGTTCTGTAATGCACACAGTCTCCTGAACAGCAGTTTGCTTTTTGTGTGGTAGCTTTCTGTAATGTATTTTCTGAGGTTTGTAAAACAGTAGTAGCATACAATTATGAAAAGCTGAAATGGTGATAGTCTTGGTTTGGGATAGCATGTGGAAATGCTTTTTTGACTTTTTTTCATCCTGGATCTCTGTTTGGGCTTGTGTTGGAAAGGCCACTGTTGTTTGCAGGGAAAAAACTTGAAGCTGGCAAACCTGTCTGGATGTTTTTTTTCTTTGCCCCTTAAGTAAACATGACCTGAGTCACACTGATTTTGCTTTGCACTTTGAGTTTGTTTTACTTAGGTTTTGGAGACAAGAACTTTGGCAACTGAGTTCACATTTCACTATTACAGTAAAAACAAAATAGTGCTTTTTTTCCCCCAACACCAGAACATTTGTTCATATCAGAGACCACACTGTTTAATGTTTTGTTTTTTACCTCCGGCTTTTGAATCTGACATTTGAAGTTAACCAAGCACAGTTTGAATTTTGAATAGGTGCTTTTACAGTAGCCGACACATTTACTGCTTCTGCTAATTGTGAATCTCATGAAAGACTAATTCACTCAGCACAATGAAGAAAGTAGTTTGGTGTGATTCTCAGCACTTGAGTATGAATGATTTCCTCATGTGTGTATTTTGTCCAAATAAGTCAATATCCACACTGCACTCAAAAGGCCTTGCTTCTCTTCCTGCAAAATTTGCTAATAGAAAAAATAAATGCTGCTGCAAAAGGTTTACATTTGCATGGGAGTGAAACAATATGCAAATATTTTGTAGTTAAAGTTTGGAGTAGGGAATATTTGCTCCTGCTACCGAGTTCTAATAACAGACTAATAATTTTATTTAGAGTAACACTGTATATATGCCTGCACTCTACAATAACAGTTATGATGTATATTTTATCCATCCACCTTCTGTTTCACAGCCTGGACAAGATGACACTCCATCGCAGATTAATGGTCTTAGTAAATCTTAATCACGGATATAAAGCAGGAGGAGCAAAAAGTCCAAAACCCTTTGTTAACCAGTTGTGGATCAATGTGCATGCATTACTGCTGCCTTTTTTGCCTGTTGAAAGAACTATGCTCAGCTATACAAGACCTTTGATTCTCTCTTAAAATGACACTGTGCCAGATCACGTAAAGAAAGGGCCGTAATTGCAGCTAATCAGCTGCTAGAGGCAGCTAAACAAACTAATCTCTGTAAATGGTTTCACAGCTGGTGATCATGAGATATTTGATTAGTGGTTAAGGCACCTTCACCACTTTCTCAGATGGGGTTAATTCAGACTTTGTTTATGAACGTCTGCACAGAGCTAATAGGGGCTGTTTATAACTTTAAACAAGCAGACGAGGACTATTGGTTTCCTTAGAGCAGGTTCAACAACTTTGTTTTCTGGTGCCATGACTTCAGAAATCAGTTTTTCTAGAATATAAATCTGCTGCTTGCACACATTGCAGAGTGACTTTGCATTCTCAGTGCATTTATCTGCGGACCGCCATACAGTATGTGAAAGATGTTTTCCAAACTCTGCCTCGTCAGTTAACCACAGAAGAACATAAAACATACCACACAGGAGGGGGCCACTTGTCACTTTTTGCTCACCTTGATTGTTCAGTAACTAAACTTTTCTTAGAAGTACCAGCAATATGGACCACAAAAACCAGACTGTTCCATTTAGACTTGTGGATAAGCCCAACTCTTTGTGGAAAGAAGCATTTCCTAATCCCAATTCTAAATATAAGCCCTTTTAGTTTCTATTTGTGACCAAGCATCCAGTACTATGGTTTTTGCTCCACAGTGTGAAATGGCCTATGTTACAAAAGTAGGCAATGGAATTAATGCCTTGCAAAAGGTGTAAAATACTCAATGTACCTTATACATTGTGTTCTCCATTGAAATATTCCTTGTGACCTTCTTTGAAACCTCCTTGGCTCTTTCTGAATGATTCATGTTCTAACCTTAACGGATTTATTTCACTATTTGGGCACCTTGTGTTTGCCTCTGGGATGGCTGTTTTCTGTGCTTCAAGCAGCATTGTTACCATCCATTTCCTGCAAAGTCGCATATCTATCCCATCTCGTTCTCCTTTTTCCTTCACAGTCGGTTTTCCTGAAGTCATAGACCTTCGTTTCGTAATTGACAAAGTACCCTTTAAAATGACTAGCAAGGAAGAAATAGTTGAGATTTAAGGACATCTGGTATCCTCAAATCTTCCAATCAAAACACCAGGTTTCAGAATAGGAGAAAACTATCGTGTATGGACTGGAACTGCGAACATAAAATTCATATTCTGAAGGATTACTATTTACTAATTTAAAAATAATTCCACTTGTGGATGGTTTAGGAATATGTAACTGGAAGGCGGGTCTAAATGGTTGGGCCTTGGATTACAGAATTATTTCGGATCACTTCCGACAAATTGACCTATAACCCAGAAATGACACACAAATGAAAAAAGCACCCTCATACCATTCCTTCGTTAAAAAAAGAGGGAAATCAAATTAGTAAATTTTATTTGGCATTGTAAAAGCTCAACATTTGTTTGTATTTAACAAAACTGAAACAAAAAAGTTATTTATAGATCACATTAGCAAAATCACATTAACTCCAACTAAAACCTTATAAAAGTCAAGGAAGTAGCTAAACTACAAGAAATGGAATACGAAAAATATGACTCATAAAAAAATGACTGCACTTACAGGGTTTTAAATGGTTTATAAAATTAGATTAGACAATATTTTCAAAGCTGTAATATTGAAATAGACAAATGAACTATTAACAATAAGGCAGGTGTCGACCTCTTTAGACAACATCTCTGGTATTGCGGATGGCACAGCAGAGAACCATGCTGAAGATCATGCCAAAAATCTAGAAAGAGGAGAAATTGTGGGATTAAAAGGACTTGCAGAGTGATAAATGTCCATAGGAACTTTACAATGTGAACTAAGCGAGTTCATATTAAAAAAAAAAAACCTAAAAAAATTCTGAAAAATCTGTTCACACACACTGCAACGGTTACAGTCAATTATCTCTGAACGCTGCAAATTCCATGCTGCTATGGGGGAAATGGCACATGTCTCGCTGACCTCACTCTGCAGGCACCAGGAAAACAATTGCCATTTCAGCAAAAATTGAAATTGCCCAAGATACATGGCTGACCATTGACGAGGTAGGCTGGGCAATTTTACACCGCCATTCCGAGAATTAAAGTCGGATAGTCGCGCGTTTACTGTTTGAATGGGTGATATCGAGCTTAGTGGTTCTCGGTCCTAGTCTAGCAGTATTCCTGTGTCTGCAGTTTTGTTTCAGCAGGGCCATTAATACTCCCGTTTTAACTGGTGCCTGGAACTGATAAAAAAAAGTCTAAAGCAACAAGGATTCGCTGGTTTAAAAAATACTCGATAAAGTGCATTATTTCTAGCAACAAATGGGATAGTAATTTAAGTATTGTCTCCTCAGCTTGCTGATTCAGAATTTTCTCCCTTATTTCTGACCGAATGGCTTCTTGACAGATGATCAATTGACCAGAGTCAGCGTTTTACCTTCTCTAACTCCCAATTTGCTCGATTTCAGCTCACAAGGGCCTAAAACTCAATTAATTAACATGGGGCTAGTACCAATTCTAAGTTGCATTCACCTTCTTAAGAGCAGGAAGCAAATTTTTAAAATAAAGCCTCAAAACCGAAAACTGAAACAGTTTCAGCCCATGGTTAAGTACTGGGCTGAAGCAAAACCAGAAGACCTTGGTTAAGAAGGTTACCCAGGACTTGAACTGAGAATCACTGTCGTAGGACACATCTGAAACTCTGGCCTGGGTGCATAAACAAAGCCTTAACTAGAAAGCAGGTCCGTTACTGGCAGCAATCGGCACTGGCGATTAAGGGACAAGTTTAAACAAAAACCTATCAACTCAGAGTTCAGAAACCATTGATGTATGCTATAGGGCATCCCCTGTGCATTTTCTAGATAAGACTGGTGGAAGCTCCTGAATTATTTTGACTGTTACAGTTATTGTAGATACTTCTATCTCTGTAGCAGCACAAGTGAGAACTTAGGGTGTGGATGCTGACCTTGTTATTTTTCCATTCCATAGTGTTGAACAGGGTTCCGTTACTGAAATAATACATTTCAGCCTGAGGGATTTTTTTGCCCTCGTGTATTAAAACGAATTGCCACCCTCGGTTTTATTTTTTTAATTTAAGGTTTCGCTGAAATCGCGCCTTAAAAGCTGCTGACTCTGTGGCACTTTTGTTCAGTGCAAACCCCTGAACTGTGTCGGTTTTAATGCAAAGTCCAACCCCCTTCTGATGTCCCACCCGATGAAGGATTTTTTCTTGTGCTTTCTTGTAGACCATTAAACAACCACGAAGTGCTTACCATCACAATAGCAATACCAATTCCAACTCCAGCGATGATGTGCAGTTTTGACTCAAACACTTCATGAATGGCTTGCGGACAGGGCTGCAACAGTCAATCAAAATGGTGCACGTTGCTTTAACAGGTTTGGCTTATGGTTGTTCTGCATTGTATAGGTTAGTCTTTATTGTTCTGTTGTAAGTGACCTATTCAACTAGTGGTACAAGCACTTATTAAAGGCATTTTACAGGTAATGGGGACTCCCCTCCACCACAACCACCAGTGTGCAGCCCCACCTGGATGATGCAATGGCAGCCATAGTGTGCCAGAACGCTAAGCACACAGTGGCTATCAGTGGGGAGGAGAGCAGATATTGTAGATGAAGCCAATTCATAGATGGGGATTATTAGGAGGCCATGATTGGTAATGGCCAGGGGGAAATTTGGCCAGGATACCAAGGTAACACACCTACTCTTTTCAAGAAACTCCCTGGGATTTTTAATAACCACAAAGAGTCAAGACCTCAGTTTTATGTCCCATCCAAAGGATGGTGCCTTTTTTACAGCATAGTGTCCCCATCACTACACTGGAGCATTAGAGCCTACACAGACTGCAGGGTGAGCGCCCCCTACTGGTCCCATTAACATCTTCCAGCAGGAATCTTAGCTTTCCTAGGAGGTCTCCCATCCAGGTACTGGCCAGGCTCACATCTGCTGGGCTTCAGTGGGCTGCCGGTTGCGAGTTGCTACTGGCTAACTTAGAATTGATGACTTAGAAAAGTATTTTGAAATACATCTGGATTAGGCACTTACCTTCAAAGACAGTACAGCTAAGCCTTCTTTGGTAGGGCAGGTATCTTTCACGATTGGTTCAAAAGTGCCACCCATCCCACAGCAGTCCAACTGTATAACGAGAGCCATTTTACACTTCAAACATCTAGACTTTCAGTCAGACTGAAGCAAAAGGTGTTGAGCTGGACAGTATACATTTAAAAAGCTTTGATTACGCACATCTCCTCACTGTCCAACAACGCATAAAAATGAGAAGTCAGAATTTGTGGAAAAGCAAAACTAAATACTAATGCAGTCACACCAGGAGCAACAGGCATCCCCATCCCTGGTTGAGGTAAGCACCAATCCTGTGCAACATAACTATCTCAACATTAGGAACACCTATTATTTTTAATTAGTGATAAATTAGGTGAGCTCCTGTCCTTGATTTACAAATCATCTGTAAATGACTCCAGTTAACAGACCTCCCTGTAGCTGATCACAGACCTGTTTGCCTATAAAACCTTCTGCATCGGGGCCCTGCAGAAACGACTAATGCATTGTACACTTCACAGCACCGATCTTAAATCGGAACGGAACACATTAAAAAAAAAACAGGAAAGGTCCATCAACAGCCGAGCACAGTGCACGGTAGCAACAGATCAGTCGGGCACAGAGTAACACATTTACATGTTAACAAAAACATATCTGCAGGTAGTGAATCAAGTGAAAGGCAGAGCCACATAATACAAATCCACACTTCAAATGGTTTGGAAACACTGCAAACGCCCAGTCCTGACAGTAGGATGTTACTGCCCAGCATTGACTGTGTCTCAATCTTCATTTTGGCATAGGCATAGAAGGTGAAGGTGCTTACACCTGATGAAGGCTCCACGGCCAAAATGTTGTTTTCTTTCTTCTCTTATCAGCATGGAATAAACCTATTACTTGTTCCTTTAATACTTATACACAACTGGAACACTCTGTAATGGACTCTGGGGCCAAATGCACAAAACAGTCAACCAAGACTGGTCATAAATTTACCTTTGGGCTGCTGTTCACAAGAGAATATGACCAACAATCCAATTTAGAAATTGGAGAGGTTTGAAGGCTAATAATACACAATTGAAACAAATTAAATTATAATCTAAACATAGCTAACGTTATACAGGTTTTGCAATTAGCATTTTAAAGATCAGTTGGACCTGTAAAGCAATTAGTCTACCTAGAAGTATAAAATCACCCACGAACATCCGTAAACAATGCTTAATTGTAAAGCACCAGGTTTCACCTGTATTCCTCTATTGGGTCCTATTTCTTAGCTGTATTCATAGCAGGTTCAGATAACCAAATAAAACCATCTGATTTGTGAAGACTAGGTTTTTCAGCTCTTTTCCCCAGGCATTTCATTACACTGCTAGCATTGTGTTTTTTCAGCTGTAACTCCGGTTTGACCAGCAATTGAGAAAGAGGCAGCAAAACGCTAGGTGGGGTGAAGCTCCTCTGTAAACAAGCAGGCTTGTGAATCCAGCTCTTTTAATCCAATCAAAATATTGCTTTTGATTCCAGACAGTTTTGCTGACGAATACTACTTGTTAACATTTCTGTGGTGAGATGTCTGCGGTACAACTTGCCCATCACAGTACATTATTCACTACAGAGACTAGTGAGCAGGAAGGGCCACTTCACGTCACAATTTGTGGGAACTCAAATGCAAGTTTGCGACAATTTTACACAATTCATGATTTTGTGCTTAATTAAAAAACTGTAAATTTATCCATGAATTTGTTACCAAGATTTAATTAACCGCCTGAGAAAATGGGACTGCAGTTCCTCTTTAATGCAATAAACGCTGTGATAGACTGGACAACATACAGGCCTGTACTCTCCCCTTAGTCGAGCTTTGATTCCTGAAAATCTTTTCAACCTACATCTACGTACACAATATGTAATTATTTAAAATAAATCTCAGTTGAATTTAAAAAAATGCCAATCAATAAAATAGCCCTACACCCATAAAACATACTTTCAATAACAAGTTAGACAAAACTGGCAGTTTGATAGCTGTGAGTCACACAAGAATACAAACACCCGTTTAAGATAAGATAACCCAAAGAATATTTTTGTAAATTAAAATGCCTGGTTATTGGCTGGACTCCTGATGACTTATCTTTCTAAATACAGGCATCTGTCAAATTACCAACACTTTTAAAACTACCGTAAATTGTTTAAATGGTCTAGTCCACCAAAATGCAGAAACCAGTGCATTACACTGCAAAACTTGCTCTTGTGAGCTAAATGGCATACAGCAATGCAAAACATTAGGGAAAAAATGATTAAGCCTTCCAGAAAATAAAAAAAACTAGTGGCTACAATCACCTTTAGGATTACATTTAGCATGTTCATGTGATCTGTGGAAGAAAGCAGAACTTACACCAAAGTGAAATGCTCGGAGTGTTTCCTTCAGTGCTTCCTGTTTGGTTTTCAAGTAATTGTTGTAGGTCTCTTTGTAGAAATCCTCTATGTCCGTCACAACCTTTGCACAGAGGGAGAGAAAGAAGTGCCGTGATATTGCAATGCCATTAATAGAACGAACATTAGTTATTGGCTTACCATCCACAAACGTGCCATTTCAAACACGAGGGGTCTCAAAGACCACGTGCAACCTGTCTCCAAAATACTCCCAAAAACCCTTCGGTAAGGATGATTTAAAAAAGTGTAAGTCAGGTTTAGATTTTTTTCAGTTTCATTGCTGTTTAAGTGATTAAAGGCAGAAGCACGGAGGAGATAAATATGACCTGTCCCCAAAACTGTGCTTCAGGTCACCTGCGTCTTTTCATAGAGAGGGGTATCAGGTGGACAAAACAGACATGCATTCTGCTGCAGCACAACAAGAGAAAAGCCTGGCTACATTCAAACCAGCCTGACAATGCTTGGGGGAGATATGCAGTCCCACTTAAGAAATTAGTCAAGACCAAGATGAACCACCAATCTCCGGATTAGCAAGACAG